TCAGCTAGTTAAAGAGACCCAAACCCAGATTCACTACCTCTACATAAGCTGTTCTTCCATTCAGTCTCTGAAATTCTTCACTGCTGATAAAATATTTTTGACTGGGTGCTGGAACATTGGCAGTAAGCAAACCTTAGCAGTTTTGCCACTGATTCCACTTGGGTGAGTAACTTACTCGGCTTTATAGTATCCGCTTTATATCTTTGGGAAAGAGAGAGCAAACTTGAGATTGATCTTACAAGGCAAAAATATAATATAAATGCCAATTATTGTCATAATCCAAGTCTTCCAAAAGGGAGTGACCTCTGACTAAGCACAGGGCTGGGAGCCAGATACTTCTGAATTCTACTCAAGACACAGACTGATTCACACTGACACCTTATCTGTCTAACCCTAACCTTCCCCTCGTCTAAAAACTGTGTTTCCTACTATTGTTGCAATTCTACAGCAACGAGGCAGGAATTCAAACTCTGAGGCTGGATTCAAGGGCAGAATGAAGGATCAGAAGGACTAACAAACAGAGAGAAAAGCTGTAGTGGCAGCTGAGTGCTGAACTGGGGCCCAAGCCCAAACCTGTGCCAAGAGCAAAGGAGGAGCTCTTGCATTTGGGAGCCGAAGATTAAACTTTGGATATATAAGCTCTGTAACAGAATCAGGGCAGGACTTGTGTGCTTGAGTTACACAGCTAAGCAAATCTCATGAAGACACCAAAATACTGTCTTTAATCCACATGAAGAAACAGAGTTGTGGTAATAAAACTGAAACGTGGTCCTAGACACCAGACTGGCAAGTCAGGTATTCTCAGCTGTCAAGATTACAGGGGTAGGTATACTGCTGTCTTCTGCCTCCTCCAGTTCACTTCAGAATTTGACCAATCCTTCCTTAAAATCCAGACAGAATCTCAGAATTCTTCTCTATTAATTCTGCGAGTTGGAGTATCTAAATACTTGAAACACATCTTTCTACAGAATATCCCTGTGAGGCAGGGAAGTAAAACTATGCTAATTTTTGAGATCAAGAACTCGCAGAAAGGGGCTGGCCTTTTGACAAGTAAAAATGACTCTTCGAAGTTACACAGGCATTCTGCAAGAAGGCAGACCAAGTGCCTGGCCAGACTTTGAGTGTTTTCTCACCACACATACAGCCATCCCACAGGGTCCATCTATAGCACCAGATATGACAAGGTGTGGGACAAGTTTCAAGGAAAGCCATCACCACGACTTCTACCACCTCTCTTCCACACGTAAAGAAAAAAAAAAGTTCTAAAGTATTTCAGGCGACTTCGTTTTCCCTCAGGATCTATCACCCATAGCAACAATCAACACACTTTCTTAAAAAGATAAATTTGTTACTTCAGAAAACTAAAATCCAAACCCAGTAAATAACTGAAATTTACCTACCCCTAATTTTGTGCTTAACTACAAGGCAAATTGTTTTTCCCCACTAGAAAACAGTTCACAAGTGTAGTTTTACTGGCACACAGTCTTAGTGGAGACAGAGATTATACCTGGAGAACAACTCAGGAATAGATAACAGTGGCTCCTTGAAGAATATAAATCACAACAGCAAAAACATGGGCTTTTGGACATGACTGCCTCCATATTAGAATTTTGTTTATTTTATTTAAAAGCATTTCAAAAAGAAACACATGTCCTAATTAATGCTTTTAAAGCAACAAACATCTCTTTGTGTAGTCCAGACCTAATTAGGGAAATTTCCTCTCACATGACATGGAGAAGACCCAGTCTATATTCTAAGGGCAAGTCCAAATCATTCTGTACCCTGCTCCAACCAGGAGGAGAACACCTATAGGTGCAAGTCCTGAGGATGCAGATGCATGAGAGAGGGTGAACCAACCTACAGCCTGCTCTTCTGCATAGCTCCAGGACTCGGTGGAAATCTCCACAGATCAGTTCACTAACCCAGCAAGAAAATCAATTAACCAACCAACTCACCCACAGCTAGTTTCTGCCTGGGTTAGCAACCTGAATTAGCTTAGAGAAGGCTCTGATGATTGCTATTACCAACTCAACAGATGGGGACAAGCCAATTTGGCCAAACGCAGAAATAGGCATAAAAGGCACACGTGTAACAAGATTTCTTTTAGGTCTCTTTCAGAGTGGCTTAGCTGCCTGTAAAATAATGAATTAATTTATCTGGTTTATCTTAAAGTAAAATTAAGGGCTCAGACAGGACATGGTTTCAGTTGAGGAAGCTTAAAATGCCAACTGAACATTCCTACAGCCACCAGCTATTTACATGATACCTTGTCACTGAAGACAAAAAGAGCAAATCAGCTGAGTACTCTTTCACCCAAGTTTAATTAACGTGTTTCATGTCTTATTTCAAAGAAGCTGGACAGTTAACACAGTTCAGCCATGTGGTGACTTCCTAAGACACTTCAACTCCAACTGTCTGTTCTTCAATGTGTGCTGACTTGGGTATCGTTCACGTACTCCTTCCTTTCTTTCTGTTGTTTTTCCGAAACGATGACAAGGCTTCCATCTAGTCCTTTTTCATCTGCATTACTCACACTGATTTTCTTTCCACTCAGCAGGCTTTTACTCCCTCCCAAGACAGCTCTGTCATAGCTGGCAGTTAGATTCATAAGCACTGGCCTGATAATTCAGGTAAACTTTAAGTGACAATGTTGAAACTGTCTAGTTCTATCAGAAATCGTATTTTGAGAGATAGTTTGAAACGTGCAAACACAAACTCTGATATCTCACTATTAACACATATTAATTCATTAGTAGTGCCGTGAGCCTGTGAAGTACAAGCAATTACTCCCATTACATTTATGGAGAACCCAACAGAGATATACTTGCATTGGCTACAGAAGGACTTTGTTTCAGATAAACAACTAACTCCTGTGAGACCAAAATCAAGAATCTTGTGTTCACACCATGCCTCAAATTCCTCCTACGTACTAACTCATCCAACCGTGGATAAAAACTAGGTAGGTGAAATGGTAACGGCAGCCAGCTGCCTACTTTGCTCTTCTGACAGAGGATGCTGCCCCATGGTAGGAGTAACCAAATTACTCTCTAACCATGGTAGTTTTAAGACTGCTCAATTTTCACCTTATTCAGAATTTAAGTTAAAACTTTTTTTTAAATTAAAAAAGACTGTTTTCTTCTTTCCCCTTCTGAAACCACGATGCCCACTTATCCTTTTTAAAATATATCTACAGTTTAATCTGGAAACTTTATACCTAAATGGGTCATCTCAGCCCATTTCCTCTAATTTAATACTGCCTAATCCTCTCCAAATAGGTTCACCCCAGTTTTCACTCAGTCAAAAATTACTGACCTATACTTATATTGCATTCTCGATGGCCATATTAACTGCACATATACTGGATTAAATCAAAAAAGCTGCTACTTCGCTTATGGAGGGTGGCAGCTGATTAACAGGGCACATCAATGGGCCACAACGATTGCAGAAAGCAACAAAACAACATGATATCCAACTAAAACTGCACAGGGGCAGAACATGACTGAAATATAGCTAAAGCACAGGAAATTAAAACTATATAATTCACAGTTTGGAAGTTTCTGTTAAAAGACTGATTAGAAGTTAAAGCTGACCAACTGTCCTTGTGCTCACATAAAGCACAAAAGAGCTCTAAGATCACTCTGCAAACTCAAACCAGTATAATAAAGATGCATAGGGCAGTGTGGCCTTACCTCCGGACTTCTTTCCTGCTGTGAATTAGATCTTTACAATTTCAAGTGGTGATTTTAACACTGAAATCCAACATATTTCCAGCTAAAAGAAAGAAGAGGAGGTGGCTCAGGGGACTGGCAACAAAGTAGGAAATGACTAGTTTTGAATAGAAGACTAAGACACCAGCAATAGAAAATAAATAACTGATGGTTGTATCAAGAAGTCCTTTTGAAATACATTTTCAGTGGTTCCAGTAGTTTAGTTTCCAACATAAAACCCCTGGCAGTTGTTACTTTTTGCTGTGACTCCCTTTACATAAGTTTGTGACTGCACTGCTGCTTGCACTATGAATGCCCATGCGCTAGATGAATAATCTTCATCCTTGAAATAATCCATCTGGGAAAATTTGACTGCATTCGCAGCAGCCCTGTTTCTTGCTATCTATTCTGTAGACAGGATTTCGCTTTCCAACTCTGTCTGACAGAAGGTACAATCAGAAGTCAAGAGGTCAAAGTATCTTAAGAATCTGACTGCCAGTGAACAAGCATTTGGTCGCGCCTATAAAAGAGGTATGGGGAACTGTGATACAGGACTGGCCAGTGAAAGAGAGAGAGATGACAGCACAATACAGGTCAAGCCTTTCCTTTCTGCCTGACAAGCTTCAAACTTTGAATTTATTTGCTTATTTATTGAAGAAATGGCATGGATACCAGTTACATTGAAGGTTCATGACAGAAGTCATTCAAAATTTTGAACAAAGTAATGGGCTCAAATTCAAGGATGAGATTTAGACAACTTCAATTCGTACTGGGATTCAAGATACAGCAGTGGTTGCTTGGACAAACACATCCAATTCTAATGTCAGGTTAGGTGCCCTAGGTTTTCTGCCTTTGCTATATAATACTACATTAATGGTGTACTCATCCCCTTACTCCAAGTCTGTAGTGGGGCTAAACTCTCTTGCACAGCTCTGGTATCCCCCTAGTACGTTCAGTAGATATATGGAGATCTCTCTTTTAACACTACCTCTTCTCTCATCAAGGCTGAGTTTCTAAGAATTGCATGACTTTCCTTCTCTTTCAGTAACAGAAAAGTAGAAATAACGTTAACAACCAGACCAAGTGAGGAATTAAATGCTACTGTTCCCTGGTTTAAATGCCCAGCAAATACCAAACCAGTAGAACTCTCCAATTTAGCCAACTGCTGATTATCATTGTAACCATTTCTCTGATATTTTTAGACAAATTAACAGAAAAATGCGCTGAACAACTCGTTGAGTGTTCAACAATGGATTTTTGTGGGGTAAAAAACCGTTGTAAGCTTGTACTTACACTACTGGAAAAGTTCTGAGCATACTTTACATGGGGATGGGACGTTACAAAGCCTCTTGGGGGTCTTCAGTGTTATTCACCATTCTGTAAGACATAATGAAAAGATACAAGAACGCTTAGAGATTTCCGTGAAAGGCAAATACATTCTGACTTCTTGTTATCTGACTTACAGTTGTAAAACCAGCTTACAGAGGGTAACCTTAAGGCAGTTTCACCAGGCGGTAGCACCAAATCACTTCTCATTAAAATAAACAAAGACAGGCACCTTCAGGATTGCTCTCAATCACCCACTCCATCTCTCTGCTGAAAGGCAGTAGAATGTACACCAATCATTACATATAACCACGGTCAACAAAAAACGCTCCCTGGAACCACTGAATTTTCTTGTATCATCTTTCAATGTATTCCTTTTTTAAAATGGACTGTTAAAGCCTCACCCTCTTTTTTCCTTCCTTCTTTCTTTCTTTTCTTTTTTTTCTTTTCTTTCTTCCTTCTTTAGGAGCTTTGACATGGTTCGCAACAGACCCACGGTCTTCAAAGTCTGGTAAATAATCTTTCCCATCCAGGCAACTCAAGTTACAAAATGGATACTTCACAGATCTAAACAAGTCCAACCAGCTGAGTATTCTGAGCTTGTGTATATTCATAGGTTAAAAACTGGAAATGTTCAATCACATTACTCTGGATAATCTGTACCGAATCCAGACCCATACATAATCACAGACATATACTTCAATGCACAGGGTAGATTCCTAAGGAGAAAGTTGATGTCTGGTAGTGTAATCAGTCCAGAGACAAAAATTTAAATCACAATTGATTTCTTTTGGCCACAAGTAAATTAATCTATGCAATCATTTAGCCTTATGACAGTTACCTACCCTTTTAACTCACAAAAGCTATTAAAAGGATTATTTGGCTAACATCCGCAAAGAGCTTAGAAGACAGGTACTATGTTCTGAAAAGGAATGACCTAATAGAATTTTCTTTAGCTATCACTGCTGATGTCTTTCTCCACAAACTAACAAGGACTGAAAGTGCTTAAAAAGTCAAACTATTAACCAACGGGAAAGAGAAAGGCAGGATATTCTATCCAGGCAGATGCAGAAAGAACTAGAGAGAATATTTACACTTCAGGCTTTGGGCGTATGTGAGCTGCAATATAAAACAAGTGGGTTGAGTAGCACAGGGACCTGCATGGGATGATTTACTCTGCTCCATAAAGAGACGACTGCAGTATTAGCAACCGAGCCTTGTGGATGGACACATCTCGGCTCTTCTCAGTGGTCAAGAGTGGGCCAGACACTATAGCACAACTCTTCTTCCATCACACCTGTACAGGCTTTAGGGAAGAACTGCACCTAATCCAGATGGAGTCCACTGGGCATATCCAGACTATATCATCGTTTATCTGGCTTTTTTCTTTTTTCCTTCTTGAAAAATCTTAGGAACTCTCAGGGCAAAAGGCTGGGCTGAATAAGCTTTTCCAGAAGTCGCAGCAGTCAGCTTCCGGCCACCAACTTTCCCAGGGGTTTTCAGCCTGCCCCCACATGATTGCTCCCACCCAGATGGGGCAAAGGAAAGCGCTGGGTGTTTTCGGGGAGGGAGCTGCTGAGAGTTGGCTGCTGCCATTTCCAAAACTATTCATTCAGCCCCCATCTAGGTCTTGAGTTGCCTTCTTCCTCTCCAGGAAAGGGGGTCGCCAAGGGCAAGGTCACAGACAAGATGCGTGGTCCCAGCAGACCACAGGTCATGTACTGTGGCCTGGGAGGGAAATCGTGACACCGAAGTACTGATGGCTGGAAAAGACAAACACAGAGGTCCCTTGCAGTCAGCCACCCCAACCTTTTAAAGATAGTGCTACACCAAAACACTTCTCTCTTAAATATCTTAGCTGCATTTGAAACATTTTCCATGAAGCAGTCACAAAAAATATGAGATCATGCTGTTGACTTATTGCCAAATTTTGAGTTTAATACAGAGAGCTGTTTTGTTTTCCAAAGAGGAACAAATTAGACTTAAGTATATACAAACTTTCTGAAGGTCAGAGAGGCTAATGATAGAGAACTGGATTCCTTAGAGAAAGATTTGCTTCCAGGGTAAGAAGTGTGGAAGAAACAAAGAACAAAATCCACAAAGGAAAGAAAAGATCAGCTTCCATCATCATGAAACACAGTATTAAAACATGAATATGTTTTCATATATATTCTATATATAGACTCTATATAAAACATAGAACATGAGGAGACGAAATAGAGAGCCAACGAAAAGGTTGCAGTAACTCAGGTGTGAGACGACAAAGGCAGGAAAATTATATTAGTAATACTAATGGAAGAGGAAAAAAAATGGTACGGACCACAGATGTTATAAATGAAGAGCCATTAGGATCTAGCCCAAATTTGGGATGTGAACAGAGGAGGATGAAGGAACTTTTCCAAGAGACTCCAGATCCGTGAGCACAGACAGTGGATGACAGCATTTCAGCAGAAATAAACAGGAGAGAGTTCATGAGAAAACAAGAGGGATTCTCAATTTTTGCTATGTTAAAGGTTGAGGCAGCACTATTACAGTCCGAATGCAATCGCAAACTGTCACAGAGAGAGCCAGGCAGTAAGGCAGGTCAGGGAAGCCTCAGGTCTGCCTTGGTAGCCGGACTTGTGAAAGCAAATGCAGTTACAGAGAAAGGAGAGGAAGCTGGCGCTTCCTACGCCTGCTGCCAGAACAGAACGGCTGCTATTGAAAAGGTTTACAAATAGTCTTTGACTCGACATTGGTCTAAAGTTCAGCGGCACAGAAATACCTTCCCTGCCCCCCACACACATGTAAAGGTTGCTTAAATGTTTTTGTAATTTAAGGGCACAGATGGGAAACACGCAACCCCTTGCCTATAATTTTAGGCGAAAAAAGTTCAGTCCTGAACAACGTAACTTCCACCACCATGAAATCATGACTCTAAAGTCAGGAATTTTCTTTCCCTCGGTCTCCTTTTAGCATAAACCAAAGCAGCAAACCAGGTTTGATCACAGCAGCAAAAGCGGGTGTCACCACAATCTATAGTTGAATACCCAAGCAAGAACTCACAAACCTTTGCCCTTTTCGCATTATTCATTAAATAAATAATCTGCTAACACAGGAAAAACACTACCAGCTCCCCTTCCTATTTCTGCTACAGACAATAAAAAAAAATTCAATATTAATATGGAAATCATGACCACAGTTGTAGAATCAGATGTAATGAACAATCTTGTCCCCAGCTTAAGTTGCTATAAAGGCAGCTTAAATTTACAATGGATGAGTCTTCATGGCAATCTGTTTTTCAGATATTAAAAATCTCATTTTCTCAGTGCCAAGGACAAGTGGAAGTATGAAGCACTGGAGTATCAACTCGGCATTTGTCTCACTTGACATGAAATGATTCTCATTTTAGTTCAGATTTTTAATACATTCTTGGGATCCACTTCAGTTTTCTTCATTTCTCACTGTATGCAATTAAATGTTTTGAAGTGTAGTTCACACTGATCCACAACGCCCTGCAGAGGCAAGGAGGAAGTCACTTGGTAAAGATGAGGCTGATACCACTTACTTGGAAGAGAAATTCATTTTGCCTTTTAATTTCTGAGTGAGTCACATAGTAAAAAAGAATGCCATCACTTTGTGTTTCACTAATACCTTCCTTGCTCAGTTCTAAAAAAGGGCTTTACAAATAACAAATTAAAAGCTTTTGTCCTTGGGGAAGAGAAACATCACCATTTTGTCAAAAGTAACACATGAACAGAGGGGCTAAATTCTTGGCTTAAAGCCACACAGGATAGGATCAGTGGCTGAACATGGTATCTGCCTGGGGACATAGGCCCCTCTACTACAATAGGATTATCACCAAACCAGCTACTGAAATGCAGAAGAACCAAGTTTCAGCTTGCTGATAAACCTGGTTCATTGGATGGTGAAAAAAATGTGCAAATTCATTTTGAAGTTCTACCACTGCTGAGTTTGCAATAAAGGCAGATTCCCAGTGCCATGCATAATTACAAACCAATCCTCTCCTAGAAGTAGAAAAAAAAATCAAAATTTAAGTCTTTTACTTAATGTGCAGCTTAAGGTCTGTAGGAAGCGTCAGGTCTTCTGCCTGGACTCTGTGCATGTGTGCGTGCATGTGTCGATAAACATGAGTTTTACATTTCATCCGCTTCACCTTCTCTACATTGAGGCCAGAGTAAAGTAAAACCAACTTGTTACCTGACTTAGCGTATGTCCAGAACATATCTTGCCTCAAAACCAGCAAGAGACCAAGGATCCATCCATTCTACTTCATTCCAGTGGCTAATCACCTTCCCCATTACAAATTTGTATTTGAATTCTAGTCTGAATGTGTGTGGCTTCAGATTCCAGACAGTAGCTCCTGTTAAGCCTTTCCTGTGCTAGCTCAGAGCCCTTTATTCTTGGAAGATGCTCAGACAGGCTGTTGTTTACCCAGTGCTTTTAAAACCTCCAGGTACTGCATTTGTATCAAATCCTAAATATAAATTCATCTGGGTGCATGCACAGAAGTAGGACTAGTGTCCAAAATACTAAAGTTAATCTAGGACTCTCTAGCCCATTTTCCCAAAATAGACCTATTAGAAAAAAATAAAAAGTAAAATGCTCTGCCATATGACTTGGGGACGTGTCACATTTGTGCCCTGGAAAGCGAGGTGAAGAACCTTCTCTACGAACTGCCACCTCCTGAGCACGCACTGTGGCATGGCGACATGAAGCAACCAGTTTCATGAGGTCATTGCACCGCAACACGAAGAGTTGTTTCTTATGTCTCCAGGCTCCAAGTTATTTTAATGTCACTATTCTAAGTTAGTTAGTACATTGATCTGTACCTTCAGCATGCTCTTGTGCAGACTCTCAAGAAGGTGCGCAGCAAGCTCTCTCATCAAGAATCGTTACTAAACAAGCAACGCGGTCACCGTATTTGCTGCAGCTTCTGGGTTACCTCGAACCGATGTTTGCAAGAAACACATTGGCTCAGTTGCAAGGCAACAAGGCATGAATTGCTGTGGCACAGACCTTATCTTAAGAGACAGGTTGTGACCTTCTAATC